TTCAGAGGCATTAAAAGAGGATTCAAAAAGACCCCAATTTCATTTTAATCCGATTTCATTTTAATCTGCCACATTTATTATTTGATAAAGTATATTCTCCGGGCCCTTATGATTGAGAGTTATTTTTAACGGCATTGATATTAGCAAGTCGATAAATAATAAAATTTACAGTGTTTTTAGCAATGATTGAGATAGAATTTATGCGGTTTATTTTTTGCTGTACAATAGAGCTGGCCCTGGTGGCTGATTTCGCATATATAATCGTGTTTACTTTTGCATGTGTAGATAATTAATAATTTTCAGTCATGAAAAAATAATTATTCCGATCGTCACGAATTGTGACGGTTTTTGTTACGTGTTTTATTTATTCTAATTAAAATTAAATAAACCCGCTTTTATATAAAAAGCTGTTAAAATGCAATCCGAATTAGATTTATTAAAACAACGCATCACTGAGCTCGAAGCCGAAAATATAGAGCTTAAACATGAGAATACAAAATTAAAGCAGATTATAGAAGAAAATGTTGAGTTTAAAGCCAAAATCGTTAAGCTAGAACGAGCCGTTGATAAAATCGAAAAGCGGGACCAAAGTATTAATAATGATTCTCAGCATGAGCTGGCACATTCGTGCCAAGTCAATGCTCCCAAACAGATAGTTGATACAACTATTAAACCTTGTATGTCTACAGCGGATGCAATTAGATCTGATGTAAACCAGGGGTCAAGTGTGGGGGCATCGCCACTTCATAGCAAAACTCAGCACGAATGCACCAGTGAACGCCAATGTTCTGCATCAACAATCACCATAGAATCTAAATCATCGGAAGATATAGAGATCGACAAATTCCTAGATTCAGAAGATAAGAAAATGGTTAGTAATGAGATAAAACAGAGGAACAGGGAGAAGAAGTTTACTGAAGAAAAAACATATAATAAAATTTGCGTGAATAAAATTCACGGAAAACTTGTTCAGAATTCGGATCTATCAACTGTTGCTATCAGCTCCAGTTTTGTTACACTTCATGAATCAGAACAGAGTGATGAACTTATTCCCCTTCTAGAGAAAAATTTGATTGTCGAACAAGAGTTAATGCAACAGCTTTCTTTGATTATTGGCGGAGCCAGCACAGCTGAAAATAAAGTAATGGTCGGAAATACAGATTCACAGATTCTTGATCAATCTTCAGTTTCAGCGCAAAGCATAGTTCATATGTTTCGAGAGGCCATTCGATCAGGTCAAAATGCTATTTTATGTTGGTACCATTTCGCGGAAAAATATGACAAGAGAATAGATGAGGTATCTGTTGATAAGAAAGTCGGTAAGAAAAAAGCAATGGGGATAGTATATAATGAAGTCAAACAACTTCTTCCAGAAATTACAGATGTAAACTTACGCCAAAAACTTCTTAGAGCCAGAAAAATAAGGACACTTTTTAGCGCAGTAGGAGTAGAGAAGATAAGACTTGTTTCATATAGTGCAAATGCGATTTCTAATCTTTCTTATACCCAAATTCAAAATATTATAGATCATGTGACTAAAATTTGCGTGAATAAAATTCACGGAAGCGAGAACCATGTGACTTCGAGAATTGAATCCACTGAATCATCATCTCAAGCATACATTCCTCCTGGCCTGAAAGCAATATCAGATAAAAAGATGAATACATTAGACACTTCTCAAGCAAGAGTATCATCTGCATCCCAATCTAAGCCAACTTATGATCGATCCTATTTTCGCAACAAAACATTGGATCAATATCCTAATTTATATCGAGAAGGTAGTGATGGAAATGACGATTATTACGGAATTACTAATGAATCTTTATGCCCGCTATGCAAGTTAGATCATGATGAGAAGGCAGATATGAAATTGGATCTTATAATCTTAAATGTGAACAGCGTGGAATTGAAATTGAGATAATAGCATGAACTTAAACTTATACTAATACAATTCGCTTAAGTCTTTAAGGTGGGTATATTTATTTTTTGTTGGTTATTGTTAATTTAAAGAGATGTGAAATCATATACATAAAACGGGAACATGGATACACAGACAAAAGCCAATAAAACATTAACTCCCGAATATTTGGAATGGGAAGCTAAATTAACAGAATTACCAGGCATTTTGACGGATAAAATTCGTTCTAGGTTATATAAGAGATATAAGAATAAAACTGGACTCGATCCTTGGTTAAACTATAGATCTTCCCAAATCGAAGAGGACGCAAATGATTATATGAGTCATGGCTGTATTATCAAGATTTCTAAATTTCCGGAAGAGAAAGATATAATTATTGAAACAGTACAAAAGCCAATTCCCTTTCTTAAAATATACTAATTCAAATGCATGGTATCGAGATGTATTTAAATATACCGATTCAGAAGCTAAATGCCCGATATGCAAAGAAGTACATACTCGTTTAGGAATATGGGGTGATTGGAGCTGTCTAGGTAAGAATGATCACTATTATCTTAATTGCCCCTTTCGTATCGATCAAAAGAAGCTATTAATTGCTTTGAATAAAAATCTTTTAAATTAAGATATAAATATTAATATACTAGATCATAATTTTAATAATAATAAAGAGTTTAATATAAATTTTTTACTAGAATATTATTTATCTATAGTGTCAATTATATATTTATAATAAAATTTAATCTCTAATTTTAAATTCTTAATAATAAATATTAATTAATATATTTAATTTATTATTTTTAAGTTTTTAAAAATAAGTTTTTTATATCTTTTATCATATTATTTTAATATTAAATAAAATTATTAATAGTAACTATTTTATTAATTATAAATATAATTAGTATGAATAAATTTTATTTATAATTAAATTTAAATGAAATATAATCAGATAATACTTAAATAGAATTATTATATATAAATTTAGTAATAATAAAATATTTATCTTATTAATCTTAATTATAAGTTAAATAAATATATAATATTTCTTTTAAGATATAATTTATTTTTTTTATTTATTTATTAAATTATAAGTAAAATATAGTAGATATTAATAATTTAGTACTAATTTATTTAAAAAGTAACTTTTAGAAATTACTTGTAAATTTAATATTATAATTTAAAATAATAATATAAGATAAATTATATAATTTAAAGATATTATTTAAAGAATAATTTAGCAATTTTAAATATAATTACTAATATATATATTAATAGAAAATATATAAACTTAATTAAATAATTAATAATAATAAAAATAGTATTATATTCTTAATAAGTAGCTAATAGTTATATAATAAAATTTATAATAATTTATTTTTAGTATCATTTAGAGATACTTAATAATTATAAAAGTTTTAAAAATAATTGATTATTATTTTTATTATATTAATACTTTTTATAATTATTAATATATTTATATATATCTTTAGAAAGTTTAAATTAGTATTATATTTCAAAATTCTTATATTAATATTTATTATTATATATATATTTAATATTATTATCTTTTTGATATAAATATTAATAAGGATAAGTATTAATAAAAAAGATAAGTATAATTTTTAAACTATCAAAAATATATATTTTTACTAGAAATTATATTATTAGAAAATTTTTTATAGTATATTAATAAAAGTATTCTTTTTTACTAAAGATTATTAATATAATTTCTAAAGGTAGGTAATGATAATATTCTTTAGATTAATTAGCTAAAATATAATTCAATTTCAAAGTATAATTTTAAGATAAATATAATAATCAGTTTATTAATAAGATAAAAAATCTTAATTAAGATTTATTCTATAAGAGATATTTCTTAGAATTCTTTTTAAACTATATTTACTTAAAATACAAATTGAAAATATAAAACTTAAACTAAATTAATTAACTATCTAACTGATCTGACTACTATCTGTCTTTTTTACTAATTAAGATATATCACTTTTATATATTTTAAAAATTATATGAATGATACTTTTGTTATAATACTTATATTATTTTTATTATAATCTAAATATTACTTTAGCTAATATCATAATGTTGATTTTATTATAATAGTATTATTAGTTTTGTTATAATAGTTTTGCTAATTTTGCTATGATAATTTTACTATAATTATCATATTTACAAAATCTTCTAAAAATATTACAAATAATATTTTCTAAAGCTAATATCTAATAAAATATAAGTAATTATTTATTTAATTATATTATGATATAAAGTGATTAATAATATATAACTAATTAATATTCTACTAAAAGTTCATATTACAATAAGATCCTCTTTATTAATATTTTGTTTTATAAAATTTAAGACTGAATATCATGTTTCTATAAGATTTAGCAATTTTTCAAAGTTATTATTAGTTATTCTTTCTAACTTAATTGATAATAACTTTTTTAGACTTAAAATTACTTATTCTAAAATATATTAAAATAATTTGTTAACTCTACTGACAATTTTCTAATATCAAGATATTAATTTTCAGTTATTATTTATGAAAGTTTATTATATAAGAATAACTTCTCTCTGATTGAGTCTATAATTATAATAGTATTTACTATTTTTTGATTAGTCTATAATATGTTAAAGTTAATATTTCTATTAGATGAAATTATAGTTGCTATTTCTATTACAATATCTATTAAAGTAATTCTTGCTCTCAATTTATAAGTTGATAATATTTTTAAAGAGTTTTAGATAAATAATAAAAGTAAATTCTACTAATTAATTAAATAAAAAAAATATTTATAATAAATAATATTTTACAAATAAATATATTACAAGATAAATATAATTAATATAAATAATAATATAATAATATAATTAATTATAATTATAAAAATTCTGGATTAATATATTTTTCAGATAAATTATATAAAAAAGGATCTTTTAAGTAAATAGATCTGTAATATGAACTAATTTTTATGTCTAATTTCTATATTATAGTATATAATTCTATAATTTTAGTCATGTTACTACTGATCTAAAAGTTGATATAATTTTGTATCATATCAGATAATTACTTAACTATATAATTTCTATTAGTACTTTTTATATTAATTTGATTTTTATGTCTGTTTACTATTCTATTATTAATTTCTTCGTTATTTTTATAATAAAATTATGCTTTTTTATTATCTATTTTATTATTAGTAATAATATAATTTTTCTATAAACTTCATTAAATTTGAGAAGAGAAAGATATTTTTATTATTCTATTATTAATGTTTACTCTTTGCTTTTCTTTGTTATAGTTTAGTAAATTTATTTTGTTATTATATTAGAAAATATTAATTTTTCTATTATCTTTTATTTTTCTATAATTATTTTATCTATTTTATTATTATTATTATTATTTCAGATTATATAAGCAATTATTATCTGGTTATAAGATATATTATTGTGAGATTTTTCTTTCTTAAAATTCAAAATTTCAAGAGTTAGATAGTATAAAAAATACTATAATATTATATTATTATTTTTTTTATTATTTTTATTTCTATTAGCTATTGATATCTATAGAATATTAGTCATATTCTAATTTTTATTTATTAATAACTTTATTACTTTTTTATTAATTTCTTAAATTAAAGATAAGTCATTATTATTTTTATTACATTCTTAATTATTTAACTAGTAGTTAATAGAATGAGTGACTTCATATTCTAAATACTGATTAGTTCTGATATCTTTTGAAGTTAAATTATAATTACTAGAGCTGAAGCTATATATTTCATAAAGTAATATCAGACTTTTTAAATATTATAGAAAATAAGATAGAAACTCCTCTTTTTTCAATTTAATATATTTTTAAGAGAATATAAAAAGATATAGTTCTTTTTTTATATTCTAATAGTATCTAAAATAGATAGTAGAATAAGAAATTTTCTAATTTTTTTATATCTAGAGATAGAACTTCTTCTTTGTGAAAATTAATTTGTGATGAATAAGTAATTTCTTCTTTATCTTTTTCTGTAAGATTAATAATAAATTTTTCTTTTTTATTGATGAAGCATAATCTATAATTTCTATAATTTATTCTTTTTTATTTTATATCAATAGTAATAATAATTTTTTAAATTATATTAGTAATCTTGATATTATTATTCTAATTAATTTTCAGTTAGAATAATTTTTTCAATTTCTAGATATTAATAGTATTGATAACTAGTATAAGAAGAATTATTCTAATATTTAAAATTATAAATATATAATACTTTAAAGAGTTAATTATGAGTGATATATTTTGAATAATAATTTTTTAAGTAATGATATTCTTTTACTAATAAGATAATAAGATTTTAAATAGATATGTTGATTATTTAATTTGCTATAAAATTGATAAAAATTTATTTTTATTTAATTAGTTCTTTATACTGAATAAAATTATGATTTATTAATATTAAAGTTTGATTTGACAGAATTAAAAGTATTGTAACCAATTAGCCTATTCATGTGATGCAGTAGATATGGTGCAGCTGCAGTACGTGACGTAGTAATTACTGATCACTACTAAATTAGGTGAATAAGTAATTTATATTAATTAATTTAATTTATTATTAATTCTATTTTTAATTCATATTAT